TGGCTAAATCTTATTTATATAATGAATCGTTTCCACTTTCACGATGTGGCTGACACCAAAAACATAAGCGACTTGTTAATAATGAAGATATCGCATTATGATGTCAACAATGGATACAGCAGGAATCTGGAATGAATGAAATAAGCATCTCTCAATTTAAGCAATACATTGAAAATATCATTTTTCCCGAATGCATCGAAACCAAAAAAATAATCAGTTTACGAACAGCGGAAAGGTGATTGAATGTTTTGGAATATCAGTTTGAAAGACATCGACAAGGAATATACTTTGATGGGCATGAGCGAGAGAATGTCGTTGCATATCGAAAGGAATTTTTGATAACAATGAGAGAGTTAGAATGAAAAATGGCAAAGTATGAAGGAGAAGCAATGGATGCAATTTCACCGGTGCTTGACGTAAGTGAACGTGAACTAATTTTTGTCACTCATGATGAGTGTATCTTTTACTCGAATGATGGAAAAAGGGGAATTTGGGTATTAGATGAGGAAATGCCATTGCAAAAGAAGGGGAATGGGAGATCCATTATGGTGAGCAAATTTCTTTCGGAGGCATGTGGTCAGTTAAAACTAAGTGAAGAGGAGACAACAATACATCCAGATGTTCCTATAGAGGCACATTGCTACCTTATACCCGGCAAAAACCAGGAAGGTTATTGGACCGTCGAGCATTTATTGGAACAAATCAAACATAAAATAATACCTATTTTTGAAGTGAAGTTTCTGAATGCGACAGCTGTTTTGTCTTTGATAACAGTACAAACCACGCGGTATATACAAAAGATACTCTTGTTGCAGGAAGAATGAATCTGGGACCTGGAGGAAAACAACCGATAATGCAATCGATGACTTTTGTTGATATTAATGGACAACAAAAAATTCAGCAAATGATATTTGATAAAAATCATCTTGACTCCACTATGCGAGGACAACCAAAAGGGATAAGGAGAGTATTAATGGAAAGAGATCTTTGGAGGGAAGGGTTAACTTTGGATTGTCGAATGTGCAAGGATAAAAAATCAGCGGA